CTGTTATTTCTCCCTCGAGTGATTCCAAACCTTTATGAGTTTCCTTTTTTCTGTTAAATATAAAAGAAGATATTTTGAAGAATGTTGGCAACCTTTGACTTCCATAGTGGGAAAAACTAATACTATGAAAGTCAGCAGTTACCAGTTTCCAGCTTTCTTCAAAACCTCTTATTTTGTATTTAACAGGAGAAAGACTCAAATAGATTTGAAACAAGTGAGAAATAAATGATGACAGAATTTCATTTTGATATTAATTAAGATTAATTAATCACTTTAATATCTGATGTACAGTTTGATCATGTATCACACTGAAATTCAGAGATATTTGAAGTTAAAACTTAAAATTCAAAGTGTGATAGGAGATGATTCCCATCCTCTAAAGCCTTTTTTTGCACTACTGCCCTCCGGAAGAAGGTTCAGAAGAAATAAATGCTCTTCTAACAGATGTACAGTTGAAGTCAGAATTATTAACACCCCTGTTTATATTTTTCCGCAATTTCTATTTAACGGAGAGATTTTTTTTCAACACATTTCTAAACATAATAGTTTTAATAACTCATTTGTAATAACTGATTTATTTTATCTTTGCCATGATGACAGTAAATAATATTTGACTACCTATTTTTTAAGACACTTTTATACAGCTTAAAGTGACATTTAAAGGCTTAACTAGGTTAATTAGGCAGGTTAGGGTAATTAGGCAAGTTATTGTATTACGATGGTTTGTTCTGTAGACTATTAAAAAATATATAGCTTAAATGGGATTATAATTTTGACCTTCAAATGTTTTTAAAAATTTTAAAACTGCTTTTATTCCAGATGAAATAAAACAAATAAAACTTTTTTCAGATAAAAAAAAATATCAGACATACTGTGAAAATATCCTTGCTCTGTTCAATATCATTTGGGAAAAACATTTTCAAAAGAAAAAAAAATCAAAAGAGGGTCTAATAATTCTGACTTCAACTGCATATTCACTTTTGTTCCTGAGGCTTTACAACCTTACATTTTAGCAAGTGTTAAATTTTTTATGTATGGGTTGTTGTTGTTGTTGTTGTTGTTTTTACTATTTATGAAGTTATTATGTAGCATGCTGGATTGTGTTTTGTAATATTGTTTGTAAGTGATTTGTCTCTTCATGTGTTTGTTGTACAGTATCATGATGCTACCGCCCTAAATTAATTGCCTCTGGTGGGATTAATAAAGTTGTTAAACCTTAAACCCTACAACACAAGTGGAGACTTTTAAATAAAAATAATTATAGATTTAAGAAAAAGTTTAAAAACAAAAATAACAAAGTTATATTTATTTTTTCCTTAAGTTAAATAACATTAACTTTACAAATAGCAGTGGCGGTTCTAGTGTAAATGGCACCTTGGGCGAAACCACCCCAAACACACCCCCTCCCCAACCCCAAGAAATTAATTTATTTAAATATTTATTTTTTTAAAATGACATTTAAAATAATAATTATAAATATATTTTAATATATTCACTTATATTCAGAATAGATTTTAAAGTATTATTACTTGTCTATAAATCACTAAATGGCCTAGGACCTCAATACAGATATGCTCACTGAATACAAACCAAACAGATCACTCAGATCTTTAGGATCATATAAACTACAAACTCCAAGAGTTAAATCAAAGCAGGGTGAATCAGCTTTAAGCCACTATGCCCCTCACTGCTGGAATCAGCTTCCAGAAATGATCAGATGTGCTCCAACATTAGGCACATTCAAATCAAGACTGAAAACACATCTGTTTAGCTGTGCCTTTACTGTATGAGCACTGTGCTGCGTCCAACAGATCGCACTATTATGTTTTTCTCTTCCTTTTTATATTTTTATAACTTATTATTTTATTTATTTTAAATATATATATATTTTTAATCATTTTTATTATTCGTTTTTATTTTCTTATTTACTTGTATCCTTCATTTCTGTTTATGTAAAGCATTTTGAATTGCCACTGTGTATGAAATGTGCTATATAAATTAACTTGCCTTGCCTATATTTATTTAGTTTCAGTAAATATAAAAATGTATTTATTATTATTATTATACAATATTCAAAAACAGAAATCAATCCAAAATGTAACTGAAATCCGTCACTGATAAATATTAATAATAAATAAAAAACTGGGTAAAAGTCATTGTTTTTACATTTCTGAATTGTCACCATTGACATTTGAAGCAACAAAGAATGCTCTAGATTTTCACATTAAATGTGTAAACCAAACTTATTTTAAATTAAATACAAAATAAAACTCTACAATCTTCCACAGAATTTATAAATGCATTTTACACAAAATTAGATCTAAAACTGAAAATTTTGTCATTTACCTTCATCCTTCACTCTTCACAAACCTATTTGACTTTCTAACATCTGTTAAACACAAAAGAAGATATTTTGAAAAATGTTGGAAACCTGTAACCATAAACTTTTATAGTTTTTGCTTTTGCTACTATTGAAGTCAATGGTTACCGGTTTCCAACATTTTTAAAACAATATTATTTTGTGTTTAACAGTAAAAAGAAGCTCATAAATGTTTATAACCACTTGAGGGAGAGTAAACAGTGATTGAATTTTTATTTTTGGATGAACTATCCCTTTAATTCATGTAAAAAAAAAGTTAATTAACAAGTTCAATATTATTTTATGTATTTACGGGACCTTGATCTTTGCTTTGTTGACTTTTGATGTTGAAAATTCAACTCTTCAGTTTAAGAGAGTGACTTATTGACATTTTAGTCATTTGAAACAATATATCGAATAGTAAATAAACTATAGTTAAGTCTGAACGAGTTTTTTTATTGTAATTTTAAACACCAATGCAGACAATATATATCACTTCAAACTATTACAAATGTTAATAAGTCCCTTTATCAACATCGAAAAGTTGTCGGAGGAAAGATCAACTTCAACACAATGCAATTCAAAAGCTTAAATAAAATCTATGATTCACATTTTTCATACAGTGCAGAATATTCAAATGAATATTAAGCAATATATTGTTTCATTAATTTTGGCTTAGTACCAAGTTAATCTGGGGTTGCCACAGCGGAATGAACCGCCAACTTTTCCTTTCATCCACACTCATTCCTACGACAAACTTAGCACCCAATTCACCTATATCACATGTCTTTGTACTTGTCAGGGAAAACGAAGCATTCGGAGAAAACCCACGCCAACACAAGGAGTACATGCAAACTCCTAACAGAAATGCCAATTAACCCAGCCGGGACTTAAACCAGCGATCTTCTTGCTGCGAGGCGACAGTGTTACCCATTGCACCACCTATATGTTATTTAATACCCTGTAAAATAGCTTATGATATAAATCTAGACCTTTGTGATATCAGAGCCAGAGATTTCCGCCATGAACTAAATGATGATGTAATGACTCTATTGTCAAATGACTGGACTCTTGCCATGTTTTGTCTTGCTGAACAAGTTCGTCAACTTTGCTAGTCTGTTAAAAATCTGATGTTCAGTCAAACCGACCTTTAAAAGCAGATGTTTCTTAAAGATTAAACACACGTTTAGTTCTGTTTTCGCATGATAAGAGATGTGGTGATATTAACATTGCAACAAAAAAGCACTTGTTTTTCCAATGTTGAATGCCTGTTTTGTACTGAGACTGGGGCAGAATGTACTTTTGGTGGTTTTGCATGATTTGCTCTAAATCTTTTTTCTATTGTGAAAGCCCTCATGAGCTGATCTGTCAGGGGTTTGTTTCTGTTGCAAAAGAGCAAAAACGGCTTCAGAGTGTAAATGCAAAGTTGTGATGACCTGAGGGCCTGTATTTGCATATTCAGCGGGATAGGAGGTTTGACTTTAGTATTCCCTCAATATTTCCCAGTACTGGGTTTGCAGAGAGAGGAGAAGGATCGACAAAGGACCTTAAGCTGGGAATCAAACTTGGGTCGCCGCGAGCACCTGGGTGCTATATGTTGATGCACTAACCACTAGGCTATTGGCAACAACCCAATGGCACTTTGAACTCCATTTATTTTACTCTCCAGAAAAGCAAGTCAAATGTCTTTTTAAAAAGCCCTATAAATTGTGCATTTAAACGCATTTGTCAATTCTATACACAGTTGAAGTCAGGATTATTAGCCCTCTTTTGATTTTTTAAATTTTTAAAAATGTTTTCCAAATGATGTTTAACAGAGCAAGGGAATTTTCATAGTATGTCTGATAATATTTTTTCTTTCTGAAAAAGGTTTATTTGTTTTATTTCAGGTAGAATAAAAGCAGTTTTTAACTTTTTGAAATGCATTTAAAGGTCAAAATTATTAGTCCCATTAAGCTACATTTTTCTAAAGTCTACAGAAAAAAAACATCCTTATACTTGCCTAATTACCCTAACCTGCCTAGTTAACCTATTTATACTAGTAATTCTTTAAATGTGACTTCAAGCTGTCTTGTAAAATATCTAGTCAAATATTATTTAATGTCATCATGGCAAAGATTAAATAAATCATTTATTAGAAATGAGTTATTAAAACTATTATGATTAGAAAAGTGTTGAGAAAATCTTCTCTCCGTTAAAAAGAAATTGGGGAAAAAATAAACAGAATTATTAGCCCCCCTGAATTATCAGCCCCTCTGACTTCAACTGTAAATATGCTTTTTTTCATTGTTTGATTAATCTGCATTTTAAAACATAAATTAAATAAACATTTATAAAATTGTAAATTTTTTCATTTAAAAGTAAATTTACAAAGGCATTGGATTTATTGCTTTATTAACTGAAATTTAAAAGCACAATTTAAATAAACACATTTAACTATGTATATTTGTTTGTGCATTTAAATCGTGATTTATTTATACACATTTTAATTATTCAATTATTAAATTGATAATTTGATTATTTTATTTCTAACCGGCACTCCTGGTCCTCCATATTAAAGCACACAATAGGCAAGTACCAAAAAACCAAACACAGTCTAATAAAGACTTTCAATCAATAATGACCCAAATAAAAGCCACAATACCATTTAAGCTTTATTATGATATCTGATAGTTTACAATACAGTGAAAACAGACAAATGTGACTCTTCTTTACTAGGACAGAACGCAAAGCAATGTAATCAAGTAAAAAGAAGAAAAAGCTTTTTTTTTTGCATTGAAGAAATAAAAAGAAAAGAAAAGAAAGAAAACCAGGCACGACTTAATATAGCCATTATAAATACAACATGCTTTAGACCTTATATTTTAACAGTCCTAAGAAAATAACTCAGCAAACGTATACAATCGTTTCCTTTGCATACCACTGTCGCCTTTAACTAGAATGACGAATCTCAGCTCTAGAAAGGTCTGAAACCAGTGTCACTAAAAGAAACAAGGAAAAAAGGGAAGTAAACAATCTTTTCTAATCGCCAAAACATCAGAAACACTTCAATATGTTGCAGTAAAAGACAAATCACAATTCTCAAATCAACAAAAAAACAAAGACAAATATGAATAATTGCCCACTTTGTATTTGGAGAGGCCACAAACTTGCTTTTTTGGTTTGACCCAGTAATTATAAAACAATAGCTCACTTAAAAATGAACATTTTGTCATTATTTACTCACTTGTTGAACACAAACGAAGATATTTGGAAGAATGTTGGAGCTGCCACCAATTGACTTCCATCATATTTTTTTCCGATACCGTAAAAATGCTGTATTCCACACTGTTCCTTCATGTTATCCCAACACAAATTGATTAAATTAACCTAATTGTTTTTGCAAATTCAAAGCACCTGCTTTTAATGTTATCACTCGATTGAATAGGCGTTATCAGCTAATAGATACAGGTTAGCTCAGAAGGCTGTTATCATCCATCCCCATGGTAATCAGCTATACTAATAGAGAAGACTCCAGACCTGCTTTTACATTACTGTGAGGGTTGGGTTTAGGTAGATGTTAATAAAACACAATTAATGGGAAATTTAACAAGTAATATGAATAATTCTTGTAGTTAATCAGCAATACTAATAGAGAAGTCTACAGATCTGTTTGAACGTTACGGTGAGGGTTGGGTAGGGGTAAACATTAATAAAATACAACCAATGGAAAATTTTATAAATAATATAACTAATTCTCATGGTCAATCTGCTGTACTAATAGAGAAGAGTCAAGATCCAGATCTGTTTGTATGTTACTGTGTCAGTTGGGTTTAGGTAGATGCTAATAAGATATAATTAATGGGAAATTTACCAAGTAATGTAAAATTTTTTATGGTTAATCAGCCATACTAATAGAGAACATTCCAGATCTGTTTGTACATTACTGTGATAGTTGGGTTTAGGGTTGGGGTAGACGTTAATAACATAAAATAAATGGGAAATTTACAGAGTATTAACTAATTCTCATGGCTATTCAGCTATACTAATAGAGTCGACTCCAGATCTGTTCGTACATTACTGTGATAGTTGGGGTTAGGGTTGGGGTAAATGCTAATAAGATACAATTAATGGAAAATTTAGTAAATAATATAACATTCTTGTGGTTAATCAGCTAGATCCAGATCTGTTTTTACATTACTGTGGCGGTTGAGTTTAGGGTTAAGGTATTGGTAGACGTTAATAAAATTCAATTAATGGGAAATTTAATAAACAACATACTGTAAATAGTTCTTGTTAACTTCCGGCCACAGCCATATGTGATCTATAGCTGACTAACCATGTGGATAGATGATAACAGCCTTCTAAGCCAACCAGTAGGCACAGAAGACCCCAAATGGCCCATATCTATCAGCTGATAATGCCCATTCAATCAAGTAATAACATTCAAATCGGCTAATTTTAGTGGATAAAACAATTAAGCTGTCCCAAAAAAAGCTCATTTTTTGAATGTATTTTGAAAATCGATGGATGAAAGCAACCAGCATTCTTCAAAATATCTTCTTTTGTGAACAAAAACAATGAATAAATGATGAGGTTATTTTAATTTTGAGTGAACTATCTCTTCAAAAAGAACACTCAAAGTTTGTTTTGGTTGAGCGAAGTCATATTTTTTGGTGCGCACTGACAGTGTGACACTGGCCTCCATCTAGTTCTGCTTTTAAAACTCATTGTATTCGATTTTAATGTTTGTAAAATAGTCTGAGTCTATGTTTCTATTGTGAAATTTCGTCAGGTGAATCCAGCTCACCGCTGACCACGATGCTAAAACACAACCGGCAGACGTTAGGCTCTCGACAGGAAACCATCAAAGAATGATAATCAACTTTAATAATAAAGAACGGAGGAAAAAAAAGAACTAAAAGTACACAAAGCTCATTATCATCAAGCTAAAAAGCACACATCAAAACACCTCAAAAAGAAGTGTGCTAAAGGAAACAGCACAGAGGAACTAGTGAACAACAGCACAAATAAAGTGAGGGAAGTAAGGGAACACACACACACACACACACACACACACACACACACACACACTCCTGCATCCGCACATACACACTCTCATCATTCACACACACACAAATATATATATATATAAAGCCAGAGGTACAGTGAACAAAAGTGCTTCAAGTCGGGGAAGTAGAGAAACTAACCCAGTAGAAATATGTATAAAACCTTAAATATGTTACGTTATGTACAAAACTGTGTGAGAGAGGGACAAGGTATTGTCTGTAACTCTGTATCATCTTTCAAGTAAGATATTTCTACAACTATTTTGTTTGCATTGACTGATTCAAAGGTCACGTGACCTGACTGACCTTTTTCGGCGGCGACCGCTGTAACAGAGGGTTCGCCATTCATTCTACTATTGCCCGCAATCCCACCCACCCAAAACCTCGATATTTATTGGTATTATCTGATAGATATTTATTTATACTTAATAAAAATCTACTCTATAAGAAGCTCCACCCCCTCCCACTCTAACAGCCCCGCCCTCTTTTAAACCCGAATACAACCACCGCCATTTCAGAACAGCTCTAGCTTTGACATAGAACTATGAAAAAAATACTGGATTATATCGGTATAGACGTTCGAGGTTTTTCCGTGAGGTTCGTTTCCAAGTTCGTGTCGTTTTCGAGCTTCTAGTAGATGTGCTGGATTCTCATAGTCATGCGCCGCACAACACAGGAGAGGGAGATTTCGTTTTTATATATATATATATATAAATCTTTTGAAGAGGCACAAGATTCATGCTGCTTAGAGGCAAAGATGTGGAGAAAAGCTACAAAAGGAAGTCGCGTCCGCTCGCATGCTCTCAGACAGCCCGGGTAAAGTGCAGAAGGTTTAAAGTGAAAGCTCTGGATTGCATTTATCTCTATTAGCAGCAAAAGAATCACCTAGCGCCACTTTGAATCCGATTGTAAAAAGAAATTAAAAAGAGACCTGCTTCTGTTGAATCCAAAATGGATGACGTAGCGAAAGAAAGCCAGATTTCTGTGAAACTAGAGGGAGATGATCAAGCCAGCAACCACCCGATCCCGCGAATCATTCAAAGCATCTAATACAATCATTCCATTATTATCGATGAACAAAAAAGGCCATAAAATGGACAGACTTTTGCCTCTAAACCCATGAACAAGGCCTCTGCAAAGTGCAAACAAAGTAACTGCATTCAAGTATGCCATAAACATAATGCGTCAAACATGTGCTTAACACACAAATCACACATAGCAATGAACAAACACATGATTGTAATATCAACAACAATAGTTTTGTAAAATCATTTGGCGTGAAGGGGGATGAAAACACAACATTGTTCTGAGGAGGACACTAGTTTCAGTTTCTCATCCAAACGGCTGTCGCTCGTCTTTCTCTCGTCTATGGTTATGGTTGCAAAATGGATCCTGCCACAAATGCCAACTCAAAGACGTGTGTTTGTGTAATCTCACTAAACAAAAAAAGCACCAGAGACAACTAAAGCTCCTGCAGGGGGGGTCAGATGCTACTGCTGTACCAGAGTGTCCCACGAATTGCACAGTGAAGTCATCCGAAAAACGGTTAAAACGGGAGTTCATAAATACCAAAATAAATGCCATGCCACTGCAATGCTGAGCGCCCACCCCATCCCAAATATACTGCTACATAGCCCAATCTAACGGGTGCCAATCGTGAAGGCCTGACTTCAGAGGAGGCTTCGTCAAATGCTAACCAGTAACATCAATCCACCAGGAAGGAGGATTCCCATCCCAAAAAGAAAGAAAACGCACACTTAAAAACTGCACAGCTCCTGCTCGTTCACAAAAAGAGGAGGAGGATGTGAAGTGGAGATTAAAAAAAAGAAAAGTGTGTCTTCTGGATACTGTTAACGGCTTACGAGGAGCACAAGGAGGGCCGAGCACACCCAAACCAGTTAATGGGGCAGAAACTTGAGTCCAGCAGGGAGAAGGTTCAGATCCCAAAGTGTTGACATGTACATCTCGGAGAAGTTCCCACAGAGTCTTTCAGTGACCCGTCAATGTCTCGGATTGGCTTCCCGCCGCTCTGCCTTTGCGTTTTGTGATGACCCAGTTGACATGTCTGGATGTGTCGACGGTGGCGTGTGTGCGTGGGTTTTTCTTGTTTGTGTGCGTGTGTTTGTTTGTGGTGGTGTCACTTGACAAAGTCCACGGCAGAGCAGGCCAAAGGTCACTGAGCGGAGAAGAAGAAGGTGAAGGTCACTCCCAGCCGTTATCTTTGATCATATGAGCCAGCTCGATGATGAACTTGCCTTCTTTGTATTTCTGACTGCTTTCAAACGCATGCTCCTGGAAGACAAACACAATGGAGGAAACGTTAGAAATAGAAAACACACAATGATGTATACAGTGGTCCCTCGTTATTCGCGGGAGTTGCGTTCTAAACATAACCCGCGAAATTGGCGAAGCAGTCCGTTTTTTTTTTTTTTCAATTATTATAAATGTTTTAAGGCTGTCAAACCCCTCACTACACACTTTATACACTTTTCTCAGACAGGCATTAACGTTTTCACAATCTCTTGATTAAACACTCTCAGAGCTCAAAAATAAGTTCAGTATTATAGAATGAAACCAAAGATCAAAACCTGCTGTCAGGCACAAACATTCATCGCTGTCAGCAAAAGTTTCATAAAGCTTTGTAGCGTTTGAGTAGATCATGTTGGCATCCAGCGTAATGTTCTTTTTCTGCAGTCACTGATGCACGAAGCTAAAGCAGACTCCCTCTTTAAGGGGGGGTCACACACCGGATGCGCCGTGCACATGACACAAATAGGACACGCACATTTGCATGTTATGCCTTGTTCAGACTGCGTGATTTTAGCCCCGATTTTGGCTTGCCGACAGGTTTTGAGAAATCGCCGACAAATGGCTGAAATCACAGGCAAATCGGTGCTCGTGCACGTGAGTGACAATCACACAGTATGAACTTTCAAAGACGCGATCTGAGAGAATCGCTGATGAGTCGCTGATGCCTGTGAGATATTTGGCGTTCTAAATATCTGGAGCTGTCGGCGATTCGGTTTTGACTGAAAATAACATCAGCGATCGCCTACAGCCAATGAGAGAGCAGCATTCACTTGTGTGTGCGTGTGTGTATACCTGCTGCAGGCCAGCGGGAGGCTGGGGGAGAAGTTAAAAGCGCTCTTTTTCGGTTTATTTGGACCCACGAAATGGAGGAAAAACTAGTGGAGGTTTGATAGGACTCAGGAGCAACCGTGTCTGTTTGACATTTCATACAGAAAGAAATTAGTTTATCATCGACGTTGAGGAGAAATGGCTAATTCCCTTTAAACCCAGGTGAGCAAACATGTACATGTTCTACCCCATTAAAGGCTTCTTTCTCATTATGTAGTTAATAACAAAAAATATACTACGTGTTTTTGGCTGTGATCCGTAGTTTGGATGAAGTTGTCGGCGATTCTTCCTATAGTAAAGTCATGCAATGTGAAAGTCCCTGTCGCCGATCGATCTTGCAGTGTAAACAAAGCAGCGACGAAACGCTAGCCCAGATAGTCGAGCAGTGTGAAAACATCTGTGACACGACTACTTTGAAAATTATGCAGCCTGAACTCGGCATTACTTAAAATGAAGTTATTCAGATGGCGCTCTGTGGCGTGGCAGAAATATCCAATGTGTTAGAACACGGTCCTCAACCTTTTTAATACCACGGACCGGTCAATGCTTTGAAAATTTTACCATGGACCAGGGGAGGGGGTTGTTCGTAGTTTGCTAGGCGACCGTCATGATTGCTGTCACTCTTAAACAAGTTATATATTAATGGAGAAAATTACAAAGCCCTGCAGTGTTTGGGTGTTCTGTGTTTGTCTGAAATAATAAGTCTACCGTAATGTGTCTATTACATACAGGCTGAAGTTGATTGGTCAGTTTTGTCATGTGACCAGCGGTGCAGTTGTGGCATTCATTCAACTGGGTGTGTCTGGAAGGCGCAGGCCAGGCCAGGCCAAGCGAAAGTCAGCCTTCACGCCGATTACGCACACAGTCCGCGCATCCCACTGGAAATAACAAACTTGCGTGAACTCTAGAAAAGACGCAATGTGCGAATGGCCCCTAAAAGTCCTGCGTCATTTGCTTTTTCCAGCAGTTGACCTTCTTCCACTGACATGGTGGATTCACCTGATTTGTTGACAAATGGGTTGTTGATCCATTGCTTGGCAGTTCGTGGGTCTTTCACTGAACCTTTTTCCCACAGCAATGAAACTTTTCAAAGACGCCTGTTCCCTACCCATTTTGCTGCTTGTGGGTTAAATTTGGGCACTTAAGTGAGCGAGATGTTAACAAGTGAGTACGGTCATTTTTCAAAATAAAATATTTTTCAAAATAAAATATTGTTCAGACTCAGATAATAAATAAAACAGGAATAATTTATGATTTCTTGTGCGGCTGAGTACCAGTTGATTCACCGGTACTGGTTAAGAACCACTGTGTTAGAAGATGTGTGCACATTTGGTGTGCGACCCTCTTTATGATGTTCTTGCTGCAGACAGTTACAACCCTTTTTGCATCCTTGTTGAAACTTACACTGCTAGCGATCGAAGACTTTTGTTAATTTGGCAAGCTGAACGCATTCTGTACGGTACAGAAGACACAGAGGAGATTGACTTACAACGGTCTACAGCCAATCAAAATGCAGAACATAATGCGCTGTAAAAAAAGGCATGTCTAATTGCACTAAAAATCCGCAAAACTCAGAAGCTGCGAAAGGTGAACCGCGTTATAGCAAGGGACCACTGTATTGAATATTTTTGTCTACTTAAAATTAATAAAAAAAACTGATCAGTACGTTATCACATGACTTGATGCTTGGCTTCATCTACCACTTTCTGTATTGTCGCTGAAAATACATTAATGCATAGATGACTCTGTTAGCAATCATTACAGAGTTCTTAAAGGTACAGTAACAACAACTTTCCAAAATCTTTTCTTTAAATGTTTCTTGCTGGTGGAATAATCTTCTTGTTCCCACAACAGGGTATATACAGGAATCCTAAAGGTAATTTCAATACCTTTTTAAGACTTTTTAAAGACCTTCTCAGAATATTTTAAGACTTAGCGCCACTTCAAGATCTAAACCCAAGATCAGTATCAAACCTTTAACTTAATAAACAGTTGTAAATAAACAGTTGTAGTTAAATCAATGGAGCAGAACCATGCAACAGAACTCAGATAAGCTTAGAAGAATAATTTGCGTTATTTATTAAATTAAGTTAATATTGGGAGGACAATAAATTTATGCTTTTTTGGAGTCAATTGCTTTGGACAACCTTTGAACAAAATTTAAGACCTCATAAAAACGCAATTAAGACTTTTTAATACCTTTCAAGGGCCTTTATTTTCTCATCATTGATTTATCAACTTTTAATACTTTTTAAGACCCCGCGGACACCCTGCACACAGACTGCTGGTTCACTGGTATCATTTAAACGATAACTAAAACCCCATCTCTTCCATGATGACCTGAACCCAAACAAAAAAGCACTGTATTTTATGCAATGTTGCGTTCTTTAATAAAAAGAAGTCTTAAAAGTAAAAAACATTTAGGATGCAGATTTTTTTTAAATAACTCTAACCACTGCTTTAGTATGGTCAGCTTCAACCCCTTTAGGCCGTCTGAATCTCCTCTCACACCTGTCCATTACTCATCTGGACTTAAATCTGCCCACTAGATCCATGGTGTGTCATTGTGCCTCAGGATATAAACCCTACACTTCCAGCTTCAGCTCAGTCGGCCTGAATAAGAGCTGTTTCTGAGTGTTTCTCATAGGATGATGGTGAAAAGAGCTCATAAAAAAACTGTCCTGTGAGTGTTCAGCCTGATTTCAATATAAAGGCTCTGTAATCAAACATGTGAAGACCTGAAGCCTAACAAGATTGAGTCATCGTGAGTGCAAAATCCCTCTTAACCAATCCTTAGACACGATTAGAGCTCGCGTTTAATCAGGAAGAGAAACAACCAGACCTCAATACCTGCCGTCTGTGAAAACATGTAAACAAGCGTCACAATTGACTCTTAGTAATTTACTTATAATTAGCTTTAGGTGAGATGGATTGCTAAAAGCTTCTTGTATAATATGTTCAAAATACTAACTCTAATTCAGAGATGCATTAAACTTTGCTTTTCTCTGATTAACTCCTATTAATATCCAATTAGGGGAGTCATTTTGGATGAGCTGGAATATATAAGAATCATTTTAGCTCGTAATACTGATTTTAAGATATAAAACAAATTTTTTCCATTCATGCACAGAACTTTGAAAGAGCCAAGGTGGTAAGATTTGTTTACATTTTTTTCTGTCTGCATTTAAATTGATTACTGTGAAATATTACATTATATTACAGCTAAAATAAACGTTTTGTGTTACATGAAGTGGGGCTGCACCAATATGATAAATAAAACTTGATATAAATTATTTTAAACCTGATTTCGAAAACTAAATATGAATAAATACGGTTAACAACTGATTTTATTTTATCATTGAAAATAAGCTTTTTTTTGGCCAATACTGTCTGAAGTGGTTGCCTATATATTGAGCATTACTAATATAAAGTTGTCATTTATTTGATATATAAATGCACTTTTGATCGATGTTATGCATCGGTGCTTAATAAAAGTATTAATTTCTTACAAAAACGTGACTCTAAACTTTAAAACAGCTACACATTTTCATTTTTACCATATTGACACTTTATTTGCTCATATTATTATTTACTTACCTTCATTGTAAAAAGCAAATAGTTATTTTAAAATTGACAAAACCTATTGGAATTTTTAATTTGACTTAATTTGTCATAATTGTGTACAAAGTTAATTTACTTCTTAATTTTAAGCCAATAAGTTTACTCAATTAAGTAAAGTCAATGAATTGCTTTAAAAGCTATGGCCCTACTTTTTAAAGTACAGTCAACTAATCACTTTAAAATCAATTGGTTTACGCATGTTTTTAAAGTAAAGTCAACCAATCGCTTAAAAAAAGAGAGAAAACCCTTTGCTTTTAAAATCAACTAATCACTTTTTACAATGTTTAAATATGACATAATATGAATTCAAACATAAAAAAAACTGAGGGTTTATAACATTTCAAACTATTTAAAAAGTCAACTAATCACTTCAAAAGTTACAGGTTTACTCGCCCATTGAGTAAAGTCAACTAATCGCTTAAAGAGAGAGAAAACCCATTGTTTTTTAGGCAATTAGTTGACTTTAAAAAGTGAGTAAACCCATAACTTTTAAAGCAATTAGTTGACTAAAAACTACAGGCTTACTTTAAGTAAAGTCAACTAATCTCTTTAAAAGCTATGTTTTTTTCTCTGTTTAAGTGATAAGTTGACTTTACTTTTAATAGTGAGTAAACCCATTCATAAAAAAGTAGTTGACTTGCCTTTAAAAAGTGATTTAAACCTTTAGCTTTTAAAGCAAAATCCACTACTTTTTTAAAACAATGGGTTTACTCACTTTAAGTAAATTCCGCTAATCACTTTAAAAAAAAGAAGAGAAACCCCATTGCTTTTAAAGTCAACTAATTGCTTTTTAAGGTTAAAATATGACACAATATGAATTCAAACATGAATAAAACTGAAGGTTTATAATATTTCAAACTATTTAAAAGTCATCTAATCACATTAAAATGAGCAAACCAGTAGCTATAGAGTAAAGTCAATTAATCGCTTTAAAAATTACTGACTTGCTTTTTAAAGTAAAGTCAACTAATCACATAAAAAAAAGAGAAAACCCATTGCTTTTAAACTCAACTATTAGCTTTAGGTTTTCAACAGTTTTCAAATGTGACAATATGAATTCAAACCTTAACAAAGCTGAGGGTTTATAATGTTCTGAGGGTTTATAATGTTGATAATGCTGAGGGTTTATAATGTTTATACTGTAACTGTTTACATCATCTAGTCACTTTAAAAATTACACGTTTTCTCTGTTTTAAGAGTAAAGTCAACTAATCACTTTAAAACTAACCACTTTAAACCCTTTTTTAAGTGAAGTCAACTAATCACTTTTAAAAAAAGAGAAAACACATTGCTTTTAAAGTCAACTCAAGGCTTTTTACAGATTTCAAATATGACAATATATGACTTCAAATATTAATAATACTGAGGGTTATATTTCAAACTACTTAAAAGTCAACTGAATTATTTTAAAAGCTATAGGTTCACTTATTTCACGGGGCTGCCTTTTTAAAAAAGAAAACAAGATTGTGGTAGGAAGAAATCCGGATGTATAGGACCAGCACTGTAAACAATGTAACAACAGGCTGTGGACTACAAATCTCCAGCTGCGATTTCAAAGTGCAGCTATAGTGTAAACATCACTTTAATATCATTGAGTGTTTAGGCAATACTTCCTGGGTTTCTTCCCACCGCAGCCTCGCTTTCGATTTTAAACTGGCAGCCGCATGAAATCAGTCTACACGGTTACTCACTTTAAGTCAACTAATCACATTAAAAGCTTCAGGTTTACTCACTTTATGTAAAGTCAACTAATCGCTTAAAAAAAGAGAGAGAGATACAAAACCCATTGCTTTTGAAGTCAGCTAATTGCTTTTAACAGTGTTTAAATAGCTTAAAGCTGAGAGTTTATAATATTTAAAACTATTTAAACATAAACTAACTGCTTTAAAAGCTATGGGTTTACTCACTTTTTAGAGTTAAGTCAACTTATCGCTCTTAAAAAAAAAAATTTAAATTAAATAAAAAAAAAATAAACCCATTACAAGCCAACTAATTACTTTTTTTACAGTTCTCAAATATGACATAATACGAATTCAAACCTAAATAAATAGGGTTTATAATATTTCAATGCATATTACAGACCTGTTAAGCGTTATATTTTGAGCGTTTGTTTTAATGACTTATTAATGAGAGTTATCATCAAGTGTTATGGACAGCAATCTATTATTCAGTGTCTGCTGTTTGCATTGCGTATGAAAACACAATAGCATAAACACTTACAGCATCAAACAGCTTCGCAAATGAGCTGTGAGTGTATTCACAGACACACACACACAGAGCTGCAGTGAGAAGTCAATGCAAGAGAAGGTTCGTTCTGGTCACTGAAGCCTGGCGAAGTAACAGGATATCAGTCGACAGAAAAAAGAAAAAGAAAAAAAAAAACCACACCGCTACAATTTGCCAACTGCAGGACAAGCACTCTGACAAGCACGTGTCAGCAAAGTGCAACACCTCCAAAACAAAAAGCAGCTTGTACTCTGATGCATTAGGGGGGAAGATGTGACTCTATAAATGAGATTATATAACTATATAACTTACAATATAGTAACATCACTGTAAATTCAATCAATTAATAGTTTAAATATATAGACCACAGGTAAAAAACTATTTATTTTTACATTATAAAGTATATACTTACAAATGTACTCTTTATGTGATCATATTTGTCACGTTATTTAGAACTTGAGATAAAATTTTGGATATTGGATAAAATATTAGGGCTGCACAATATATATTGGTGGCGACGCAGTGGCGCAGTAGGTAGTGCTGTCGCCTCACAGCAAGAAGGTCGCTGGTTCAAACCTCGGCTCAGTTGGCGTTTCTGTGTGGAGTTTGCATGTTCTCCCTGCGTTCCACCGGGTGCTTTGGTTTTCCCATCAGTCCAAAGACATGTGGAACTGGTGAATTGGGTAGGCTAAATTGTCCGTATTGTATGAGTGTGTGTGTGTGTGTGTGGATGTTTCCCAGAGATGGGTTGTGGCTGAAAGGGCATCCGCTGCATAAAAACATGCTGGATAAATTGGCGGACCCCAGATTAATAAAGGGACTAAGCCGACAAGAAAATGAATGATGTTCTGTAGACATCTCAGTTATTAGAAATGATTTATTAAAACTATTGTGTTTAGAAATGTATTGAAAAATATATTCTTTCCATTAAACGGAAACTGAGGAAAAAAACATACAGCTGGGCTAATAATTCTGACTTCAACTGTATATCGTCATATTGCGCAGCCCTAAATGAGACTTTCACATAACAGGCTGTAATTTGCATGCAATGGAAAAAGAGTTAACTTACGTATTTCCAGCCCAGAGTGGTTTTACAGTTTTCACAGTAGATGTCCGCCACAGCGTGTAAACCTGTTAGGAGAACCCTCTCCTCTGCTGGACCACAACCGACATTCACACTGAGGGAAGAGAAGTTAATCAGCGGTCAAAATTATGAGTCATGTGACCGAGTCATTGTGGCTAACCTGCATTGGTTGACCACTAAGAACTAGATAGAGCAGATGGGATTACTGTGCATGCACTGAAAAAAGCAGCAACTGTTCTCACTAATAAAGTTAAGTGCACTAATAAAATTAAGGTGTTCACTTTACCTAATGTAAACAAGTAATCCAGACATTTAGCAGATTAAGTTGTTAAACTAAATAGATTCAAGTAATCTTGACTTACAATAATATGTATGAGTGGTCCAATATTTAGACAAAAACTATGCTTTAGAAGTGTAGGTATTGGTTTTTGTCTTCACTTAAATCTTTCAGTTCAGCTTACTTGACAGTTTTAAGGCAATCGGCTTCCTAATATTTTCCTAGTACACTGTTAAAAGTGATTAGTTACTTAAAGAGAGTAAACCAATTGCCTTAAAAGCAACAAGTTGACTTTGCAAAAATAATGCAAGTAAACCTATTTTAACTTGGAACTGTTAAGTTAACCTAATTTTATAATTATGCTAATTGTACTTAAAGTCAACTAATACTCTTTTACAGACTATTTTGGCATGTCTGTTTTTTAATAATTACTGTAATTATCACAATATCACATATTTGTTGCTTCATTAGGTCTATAAAATCTACAATTATAGCCTGTATTGAATTTAGAAGTCTGGAAGAGCAGATTTATTTTACTTTATGTCATTTTGCTAGATCCTGAAAAGCTGGGGGGGGGGGGGGGGATATATAATAAATGCTTATTGGAAAAAGTGATTAATTTACTTTTATTTTTAAAAAGTAAGAGCTTTAAGTCAACTTAACAGTTCCAATTGACAATAGGTTTACTAAATCAACTTGTTGCTTTTAAGGCAATTGGTTTATTCGCTTTAAATAACTAATCACCTTTTACAGTGTAATGTAAACACTAGGAAGTTAATACAACTTATTATTTTGAGTCAACGGTACTAACGTTTACTTTATTAGGAAGTTGTAAATACAAACTGTTTTAAGTTATGCTCACTAAAATTCAATACTTAGAAACATTGACGAAACTGACTGCCTTAATTTAAGTAAGGTCGACATATTACATTTTATAGTGTGAACCAACACAGTGAATTTAAATTAGAATAGAGATAGGATAGTATCATATGAGATTTTATCAACAGTGATCTACTTGACTGTGTAGTAGAGATGTGCGGATCAGCTGAAATGACACCCGAATCATTCAAATCATCCACAGCCCGCACATATAGTTTTTTCTGATATATGTATCCGCACCCGACTCACACCCGATCGTCACATTAATAATTTAATTCTTTGTTTTAGGCATGATGATAGGTCACCGTGAATATTAACAGCAGACACAGTGAGCTAATCTGCACATCTCTGATAATAAAATAATTTGTTAATCTTAAACGTTTTTAAATGAACATTTATTCATAAAAACATAAGTTTGTCTTTAGACAACAGTTTCTTCATTTTCAAATAGATACAGAAAGTAAAAATAAGACTTTTCAGATTTTACAAGAACAGAAACAAAATAACAAAAACGGTGCTACTCTAACTGAAACTTTGACCAGTAGGCTACTCTTGTACTTCATCAATTTTTATTGGGAGTCTCATATCTTCCCATTCTGCAAAGCCCACTCTCTGCTTTTTCGTTGGTCCACTGCCATGTCCCGCTACATCCACCCGCAATTAATCATAATGTATTTTTTTATTACCCGACCTGCGGATATAACCGCCATCCGTGCATCACGACTGTGTCGACTAAGTGGTTGCAAACTATTAATATGAGCTGAATTTAAACAAATTAAATTTAGTGGTGTTCAACTTAATTTGTTTCTTTAAATTCAGCCTATATAAATTGTTTAACTACTTACATTAAAAAATAGTCAATAGTTTCATTGAAGAGTGAACTTATTCTAACTTAGTTTCAATGCATAAATACTGTAAACATTGAACTATTCTGTTCATGTCAATACCTAAAAGATTTAAACGGACAGCAAACGTGATTTAATGCAGCAATTATTCTTGTGTGAATGTTTAAATTTCCAACGACCACATTTGATGGCATCTGCTTCTAGATCTTTGCAATGGCAGCCCTTAACACTTGAGCACTGTAGTATTGCCTGAGGAAAATCACAGTTCACTAACACATTCAACCTCGACTTTATCATCATACTATCACACACACACACTAGATACTAGAGCACTAGCTTAAACACACTGGTAGTGCAAGCTTAAATATGATGAATCACCAACTCGCATCATTAGATAGCAGTGCTATGTTTAGGCCTACAGCTTTCGTAATATGCAAAAGAGCCATTAGCATTCCTCTGCACGCCTCAGAGTGAGATATAAGGTATAATGTGCATTCACACGGTCATTATGGCAAATAAACGCCTTCGGGGTGATGTAAAACCCTTGCTACTGCTCAAATGTTTGGGATTGGTACCATTTTAAGGAGGTCATGAACTGAGAAATCAAAGTTCCCTTGATCTTTTGTCATTTGAGACATCATTGTGCTATATAAAAGTGCATCCTGTAATTTTCAGAACTTTCTCATGAGTCTAACGTGCTGTTTACTCTTTAGTTTTAAAATGTAGAAGTTTTGGCTAGGCTTGCTCAACAATGGTGTGCGTTTAAATGTTGAGGAGCAACTAATTGGCTGCTGAGTTGGCAGCAACCAATCACACACACCGTGTAAGCAGATATGATAAGACTTAAATAATATGACAGAACTTTGTATTTAATTGTGTCTTTGAAAATTAGAAGTGTTAAAAAACACAACTGACAACTTTGGAACAATATTGTATCGTCGTAATTTACAAGCATGCAGGTTTTTATGAAAATGAGCTGTATACTTACACTGAGTTAAAGAGGTAGGCTCGTCCCTGGCTGCCTTGGAATGACTAGAGAGACAAAAAAACAAAAATGTAAAGTTACAAATAAAATTCTAGAACCATTTTAAAGGGACAGTTCACTCAAAAATAGGAAAATTCTGGGTTTCTTTCTTAATAAATTTTGGAGAAACAGGTAGCTATTGACTTTTATCTATCTTTCTATCTATTGTTCAATCAATCAATCAATCAATCAATCAATCAATCAATACATTCAATTTTCTCATTCAATTTATCATTTAATCTATCTATAATTCAATGTATATATCGTTCAATCTATCTCTTCAAACCATCTTTCAATCTATTAATAATTTAATATATCGATATTTCAATCTATCTTTCAAACTATTTTTTATTTAATCTATTTATCATTCAATCTATCTATATTTCAATTGATCATTCAATCTCTTTAAATCCATCCATCTTTCAATCTATCCATCTTTCAATCTACCATTCAATCTATTTCATTCAATCTCTCAATTTCAATCTCATTCAATCTATCTGTTTTTCAAACTATCTTTTAATCTTTTGTTCAATCTTTCAAACTATCTTTCTATCTATCCATCTTTCAATCTATCGTTCAATCTATTTATCATTCAATATATCTATCTACCTTTTATTTAATCTATAATTCAACCTATCTATTTTAATCTATCTACCATTCATTGAATCTATCATTCAATCCATCCATCCATCCATCCATCCATCTATTATTCAATCAATCAATTAAACAATCCATTCATCCATCCATCTATCCATTTATTTAGTAAAAAAAAAAATACTATGGAGGTCAATGGCGACCAGCTTTCAACATTTTTCAAATGATCTTTTTTGTGTTCATCAGTAAAGAAGAGTACATTTTCATTTTCATTTTCAGGTGAACTTTCCCTTTAAGATCCAGGTTTTACCACGCATTAAAAGATTGTGTGTGGCTGTTACGTTGCTCTCTCTCTGTGTTTTGTCTATGTGTGTGTGTGTGGGTCGTTCATGGAAAGTGTGTCTAAAATGCGGTGTTCTGACAGCCAAGCTCTGGTCATGGGCCAACATGTGTATTTCATAAACTGCTCTCAGCATATGTGTGTGCAAGAATGAACCAGTGTTTCCCTTTTGAAATTAAGTGTGTGTGTGTGTGTGTGTGTGTGTGTGTGTGTTTGGGTTTATGACACTCTACATAATAAGCTGCACACATTACGTTGACTAGCCGAGAGTGAAGAAACAGAGGTGCTTTTATTCCTCAGCATAAAAATGCAGATAAAGCTGAACAGGAGGTGCTTCTGTAGGGTTCCTTTTCACTATTCAACAGCACAGTTCAACCAAAGAGGAAAACTATGTCATCATTTACTTATGTATGGTCAAATCGCTGAGTTTTGTTCTTCGGTGGGAACACAAAGGGTGAATTGTGTCCTGACCACTCTTTTCAAGATAATCAAATCTGTCAAAACTGAAACATATTAAATAAAACACACACATATATATACACATATATGATAAAACATAAATATCCTGGCCACTATTTGCAATATAAAAATTTTTTCAAGCTCAAAAATAAAATAATAAAAAAATAAATAATATTTTTGAACAATATCCTGCGTACTTGTCCTTAGTCAAATCTGTCAAGCTAAAATGCAAAATATATAAACAACAGTAATAATAATTCTCATTATTGTTATTATTAATATTGATTTTAAATAATAATAATAATACATTGTATAAGAATGTCTTCTCCACTCTTTTCAATACAAATTAAATCTGCCAAGTCTGGAAAATGGCTAAAAAGGCTAAATAAATAAACAAATAAAACATAATAACAGCAAACCATCAGTCTGTATTTCAGAATGAAGTCAAATTATTATATATTAAGTAAAAAAATAATCTGCTGTATTTTTGGGCACATTCATGACAGAAGCATAAATATGCAAGGTATGTCCAAAAAAACTCTGTCTATAAAGGTTTGCTTCTCACATAAAGCTATGATAAAAAGAAAGTGCACATCAAAAGATTCGGGGTTTTTTTGTAAACCACAATAAAACATTACTTAAAATTCTTCTTCAGTGTTTCACAACAGTTAGAAGCATCATGCTGGTGAGTAAATGGTGACAGCTTTCATTTTTGGCTGAACTAATCCCGTAAGTGTCTGTCGGTTGCTTTTCTTAAGCTGTCTGTGTTCCTCTTTCTTCTTGGTCAGTATTTTAATCTCTTCCTGGCTACTTTCTCCAGCCTGAAACATCTTTCCGCTGATAGCTTTAAAAGCATTAACCTGTTTAGCCTCTACCACACCTTATTAACACAGATAATGAGAGTTCAGGCCAAACAACCTGGACTAGCAAGTGTTGTGAAGACAAACAAACTTCAGCCACATGCTCAAACATCACTGCCGAAGTATAAAAAAAAGCACTGAACATTAGATACTAGTCATTGCATACTTAAAAAAATAGATAAACGAAATGATAGAATGATAAGGATAGATAGAATGATATAACAATACATCGAAAAATAAAGAGTTAGAAAAATAGAATAGATAGAACAATATAACAATATAGATAAAACGATAAACAGAACGATAAATCGATAGATAGAATGATATAAAAATAGATAGAATTATATATAGATAGAAGGATAGATAGAACAATACTACGATAGATAAAATGATTGACAAAATTATATAACAATAGAAGGAACAAATATATATTTATAGAAAAATAAATAGAACAATATATCGATGGGCAGACAAAATGATGGAACAACAGAAAGAATGATACAACAATAGACAAAACGATATAATGATATAACGATACACAGAATAATATAACAATAGATAGATAGATAGATAGATAGATAGATAGATAGATAGATAGATAGATAGATAGATAGATAGATAGATAGATAGATAGATAGATAGATAGATAGATAGATAGATAGATAGATAGATAGATAGATAGAACAATGGATGGATGGATGGATGGAACAATATAACAATAGAAAGACAGAACAATAAACAAACTGAGAGAACGATAGAACGACATAATAGATAGAACGATAGATATAATGATATAACAATAAATAGATAGAAAGATAGAATGATAACAATAGATAAAACGATAGATAGAATGATAATGATAGATAGATATAACGATAGACAGAATGATAGACAAAACGATAAATTTAAAAGCAATAGAATGATAGAATTATATAACAATAGTTGGATAGAACGACATAACGATAGATAGATAGATAGATAGATAGATAGATAGATAGATAGATAGATAGATAGATAGATAGATAGATAGATAGATAGATAGATAGATAGATAGATAGATAGATAGATAGATAGATAGATAGACAGACAGACAGCAAGAGACAGACAGACGGACGGACGGATGGATAGAGGGATGGATGGATGGATACATGGATGGATGGATGGATGGATAGAGGGATACGTAAATAGATAGATGGATGGATGGATGGATGGATACATAGAGGGATGGATGGATGGATGGATACATAGAGGGATGGATGGATGGATACATAGAGGGACGGACGGACGGACGGATAGACAGACAGATAGATAGATAGACCATTTTCTTAGAACGCAAAATTACCCATTATGCTTTGCGTGTATGCGCAAGGAGAATGCCAAGAACTAGTTGGCAGCTGATGCGTATAAACAGTCACATTTGGACAGCTTTGAAACTATAGTTTATCTATTTTACCTGCTTTTATCATCTTTGAATTAATACTGTTGTCGATCAGTCCACCTCCCGGACTAGTCATTTAAAAATGTGATCTAAAGGAATGGAAAACAGCTCCCCTCGTTGTCAGACGGCATCTTCTGCAGTTTAAATGAAGCCTTGTCATCGCTAAAGTCAACAGTTTCTCTTTCTTTTTCAAATATATAACCAACCCAAACAAATGTACTTCACCAAAATGTTTGACACACACACACGTAGCCTACTGTACTGTCCCACTGACACACTGATTTAATAACTGTGACAGTGAAAATAGTGACATTTTCAAATGACAGAAAAACACAAACAATGGTAAATACAACACACTTCAAATGAAACAAACGGCTCGCGATTAATGTAATGTATTTTTTATTTAGTGCCATGTCAGCAACCAAGGCTATCTTCATGGCAGGAATCTTTCAACAATAAATACAATTTAAAAATCAACAAACAAAATAAAACATAAATTAAATAAGATTTTTTGTGTTAATACATGATAAAAATTCTAAAATCTTTTCTGGTTCCACTTTGTCAAAAATGTCCTTAAAAGAGTTCATTTCATAAAAAGTCCTTCTGGAATCAGTAAAAGCAGGACAGTCCAGTAAAATATGTTTTACAGTGATAGGAGTTTTGCAGCACAAACACTGAGTGGGGTTTTCACCTTGGAGCAAAAATCCATGTGTAATTCTCGTATGTCCAATACGGCATCTGGTAAAAACTACTTGATCAAATCGATTCTTAAAATGTCTTAAAATTCTGTGTGAAACTTCAGGTTGGATTTCATGTAGTTTCGGCTCGCGATTATTACACACACACACTCACACTATATTTCTGACACCAGACACGTGAACTAGGGGAACGTTTTTCTCTCGCACTTGAACCACATCTGACAGATTATAATGGCTTTAACACACACCTTTCAAAGTTGTGTATCACAAAAACACTTCGTAATCCACTCAAAACTATTGAAACCCATTTTCGAATCGCAAAGATAGAACGATAGATATGGTTTATGAGAACTTTCCATAGGTGTAATGTATTTTATATAACCATTTCTAATATTCATTCATTTATGGGGACACATGGTATGTTCTCATGAATCACCTTATTAGTGTACACCAAAGTCAATCCCATGTCAATATTCAATACTTTTGGGTCCTCAAAAACCACATAAACAAGTAAAAACACATACACTTGTAAGGGTAAAATTATATGATAGAATATAATATAAAAAGACATAGAATAGTGTATAAAACCAACTTCAGAAAAAGCGCATACATTTAACAA